AATTCAGATAGAAGCTAGTATACCTAGACTAGACTACTTAACATACCATGGAGAAGATTGAGCCATTAGAGGCATCAGCTGTCAGATAATAGGTTCTTACTTACTTACTTACTTCGCTGGTCGTACAGATCAGTTGTGATCTATGACTTCCCTTAGTCGTCCCCTAAAACTAGCTCTATCGCTTGCTACCGTCTGCTAATTGCCGATTCGATAATAGGTTCTTAGACCTATAAAAGGCTCCCGTCATTAAAAATCCTTATTGAGTACAGATTTGATTGGTGAAATGGCATCAGTGGCCTAAATGGTAGAACGTTGGTGCCAAAGGTCCTGGGTTCAATCCCAGGCCATGTCTAATTTTCGAAGCTCTTTTTCCATTTCACCGTTCTAATTACGAAGCTCGGTTTGTGTGTTGGGTGTAGTATTGATGTCTTTGGCATAGAATATGCCTCCATTGCTAGGTATACAAGGATATATTAGCATCTGGATGACTTCTTAACGGCATCTTGCGCACACGAATTGTGACTTGGTACATTGCAGGGTACATCAGGCCTTATGACGTACTCGTGTCTTTGCAATGTGCAGAGCTTGCAAGTGGTTGGAATCCCACTGTAAAATGTAGGTCTAAAGGGTTTGGTACAATAGATTCTATTCTAATTTGAATCGCAGTGCCTCCAACTGAAAGGCTGGGCCCTTCACACATTATTATTATTAGATACAGATTTGATTCATAGACTAGACACACAATAGTACCCAGACTAGAAAACCTAGATCCCATGGAAGAGGCTACATTATCCCACTACAGATCTCACTACAAAATCTCATTTCACTACCTTTCTACAACCTCATATTTCAATCAGCATCCAAAAATCCCGGACAAAGCTACAAAAACCTCTTCATTCTATTTTCTCAAATTCCATAAAAGCTCACAATGAGTACAGCACTCATTCATACAAAAGCACACACATATCTCCACATCCAAAAAAAAGTCTCTTATTTTATCCAATTTAAAATAAGGGTAGCTTGACAGCGAGGACTTTACTCGTGTAGCTAGCATGGATACGGAGAAAATGCTCGAATGAAGGGTGATTGAACGAGTGAATAACTTAACGATGAAATTTGTTTTTGTATTTCTTATGGAAATGAATAAGCTTAAATCGGGTATGTATGAAGAGCGAATGTGTATGTATGTCACATACTCAGATGTAAAAGGAATGGATGCTTAAATGATATTTCTTAGCGGATTGTAAAGGGGATTTTTAAATTGAATGGTATTTATTTAAGGTTGGTTTTGGCTGTCTGACTGACAAGATTTAAGTTTTGGAGCTTATAAAAACGCATTTGTAGTATAAATTTCAGCAAAAAAATAAGACGATGTATAAACAAAATGTATAAACATTTAAGCTATACATTTTCGATAGGATTCGAACCTTTTTCTGCATTATTTTTACAGATTAATAATAAATTGTAATATTCAGCTTTGAAATTAAATTAGCAAAAATCAAATTTAAACTATGAATTAAATTTCAGCTATTTCCAATTGTTTACCACAAACAGCCGGCTACTGCTTGATGCTAAGTATTTCATCTGCTTAAATGCCATGAGAACAACTTTTCAATCAATTTCAATGTGAGTCAGTCAGGTCTGTAGATATGATTGCGATTGAGCACCCCAAAAGACCTAATCTCACAAGAAACACTCAACAAGACCTCAGCTGACAAGAATCATTCTACAAAACTTTCTCGAAATGCGCTTCCTAAACTCCAATCCAATCCCAAAACCCAAAAAATTCACAAAAACTTCCACAACAGAATGTGCACAAAAAAATAATGGATTTCTCTGGTTAAAACCGAAAGCTGATTGTCTTCATACAAGCAAAAGCTGATTGTTTTCCTTCATTTCTGCATATGCGAATCAGCTTATGATGAATGTTGCTTATCTTATAAAGAAACTCAATTTATATTGGCAAAAGCGAGTGAATATCCAAAAAAAAATTCAATTCAGCAACAAAAATAAAGAAAGACTTTTTTTTTCTCGTACAGCAAACATTCATTTTATCCATCCATGAATGTAAGTAAGTAGAATGTCATCCTCCATCGCTTCGCGCTCTCGTAAAATTTTATCGCATGAAGCACACAAGAGTTTATATCGCAAAATATACACAATAAACATTCCTTTATGTAATTTTGTCCTTGTTATCTCCTGTATGAGCGTAAAAACCTTTCTTATTTTTTTTTGGGGTTGTTGCTTTGACTATTCCATTGATATGAGAGACATCTCGTGTATGACAACCCCAACGACTCACGGAAAAATGCTGGGTAACAAATATAAACAAACCTTTTGTTATATCCTTTTTTAATCAAAAAACCCTATAGCTCGCTATGCCGTATATGGCACATAATGGTAATGGATGGAGTGAGTCAAAAATGTGTACATATTCAGAAATATGTTGCTTTCTCTTCCATGCGTGGTAAATTGCTGAACTTCTTTATTGCTTCTGCTTGCCTTTCTTCCTCATACAATATATTATTGTGTACGATTGTTGTGTGTGGGTTGCTGCTGCGAGAGAGTTATTTTATTTTTTCTTGGTGGGGGTGGGTAGGTGGATGGGCGGAATTGGATTGGGAAAGTAAAAAGGTTAAAAGAGAAATGGTGGAATCTCCATTTCACTTGCCATGGCATCTTACAAAAATGAGAGTCGCTTGCTTTCATACTATGATGATTATTTTTTTAGCTAGATTTTATTAAGGTTTAATAATTTTGCATTGGCTTAATTTTGGATTGACTGGTTGTCTGTCGGCTGGTTTCTTTGATTTTTTTTTTTGGAACTCCTTATAGAATTGCTGAATGGTATGACTAGATATGATATAGAAAATTCGGTGCTAAGTTAGCAATCCAAAGAGAATCCAATAGTTTGGGGACATCCATTTTTGAAGTAGATCAACTAATGAAATCAACACCTTCATCTGACTATTTAAAACACCATAATCACCCCCAAAACATTGTGTCACAACAAGTAATAGAAGTAATCACTAGAAGATTAAAGCCTTTAAGAAAAATGTTGAAGGTGAGAGTTCAAATCTCAGAAAAATTTATAATTGTTTGCATCAAGAGGGATAGGTTTTTTTTAAGTGATTCCAAATTTTTTCATATTTTTCTTGTCCCTCTGAAAGCGTTGCATTATGAGGAACCAAAAAAAGCGCTACAACAAATCTTAATGCAATCCTTACTCACATTTTTTTGTTTCAGGAAGAAAATAATTTTGATTTTCGCAAACATGAATATTCATGAGTTTCCATGGTTGACATGACATTACCCAAAAAAAAAATTCCATAAATTTGCCTCGTTTTCTTTTATTTTACAATTTCTCCGTCGAATGTTTTCTTTTTCTTATAAATTCATGTGTGTATATATATTATATTTTATTTTCGAGCATCATATTAGAAATATTTGAACAAATGAGAAGTTTTGAGTGCTTGAGGATGGTATTAGGTTGAGACGAGTTGGAAAGGTTGCGAACTTTTTTGGTTTTAACTAGGGAACTTTGTAAGAATTGAGAGAAATTTTGAGAGAACTGAGTGGAATCTTGAGAGGAATATTGAAATAATTGAGAGAAATGAGAAAATTTTTGAGAGAACTGAGAATAATTTTGAGAGAACTGAGGAGATTTTGAGAGAACTGAGAAGATTTTGAGAGAGTTGAGAGAAATTTTGAGAGAACTGAGAATAATTTTGAGAGAATTGAGAGGAATTATTAAAGAATTGAGACGAATTTTGGGCAAATTATAAGTATTGATTCATATTTCGAATCAAAAAGTCAAACTGCAAGTCAAACTCGATCACATCCATCCACAAAAATCAGCTACAGAAAGGAGAAAGACATAACTTGACATATATGAAACACTCCACAAGCAAATGGCAATTTTCTCCTACTCAATAAAGAAGGAGGTAGAGTCAACGTATGGAGGTAGCTACAAAGAAGAATAAAAAGCAAAATGAGTTTTAGATTGAAGCAATTTCTTTTCTATTGCCTCAAATTTCTCATTTTCGAGCCTCAAATCTTTCATTTCACTGTGCCTTGTTCTCATGGGAATATAAAGAATAAATCACATATTACTTTTACATTTCCACTGACATAGCACAGAAATATTCATATATATGCAGACATACATTACAAGTATGATGGAATGCCTGAAATTACGAATACAAATTACACACCGAATGAATTTTGATGGAAATTCTTCTTCCTTAATGCTTTCGTGGAAAATTGCTCAATAAAAAGAATTTTTTTTTCTCTGCTTCTCTAAATTTTAATTTAAATTTTGTGGCTGTTTTTGTGGCAGTGGCTTAGAAGAAGAAAAAAAGTTAATGAGAAAATGCTTGAAATTATTTCGACATGTGTAGATATATTAATTCTCTTTTAAGGTTTTTTCTTAGACTTTATGAGTATTTTTGAATTGATGGATACGCGGAAATTGTTGATCTTACAGATTATTAATCTATTTTTTTATCCTGGGAAACTGTCAAAAATCTGAAGCTTCAGATAAAAACGTAAATTTGATTTTTGAAACACCCCCCCCCCCTCCACCCCCTTCACGCATACCTCAAAGTTTCCATAAAAAATGTTATTTTAATTCTTTAGAGTCAAACATTGAGCATGGAACTAGCAGGGAAACTGATTGTTTGATGGATAACTGAAACAAGCCCAGGAGACAAAGATCTCCAACTGAACAGTCTTCTATCAGTTGTTATGAGGAAAATATATCAATATGTATCAAACCTGACTTGTTTTATATTAAAAGGCACTCACAGCAGTTAGCAGGGATATCTCCAGTACTTCATCTAGCTTTCAGTCCATCATGAAAGAGTTTTAAAGCAATTCCCAAATGATTTCATGAATTTATCCATAACTTTCAGTCAAAGTTATCTTTTACTTTTAATCAAACATCAAATTTTATTCGAATCATTTAAAACTTGTGCCTCAATAATCTAATTTCATCAAAAATGAGCAACGTAAGTCTAATTTTATATATCTTCATTAATCATTTCAATAAATCTTCAAATCACCCTCAAATATCCTTAAAACATCCTCAAAAAAAACCTAATCCTTTAAATTTCAAAACATCTAGCTTGAGAAGAAACGTGAAGAGTTTCGCCGATACCTAGAAACCACTGGTGCCGTTGACAACCTGACCACAGCTCTAATAAAGCTTTATGAGCAGAAAAATAAGCCACAAGATTCAGTCAAGTTTCTGCGTCGTGAAATGTGCTCAGATTGTCATGATGAAGATCAATATCAACTTTTGGAAGCAGATTTGGAAGCTGCAAACAGGAAAATTTGTCATTTGGAACGAGAATTGTTAAAATTGAAAGGAAGTCTCAGGAAAACATCAAGTGAAGTTCAAATGGCATTGGAAAGAGGATATGAAGATATGATTCTTGCTGGAGATCCTGAAGCTGGTCTAAGGAAGATTTTGACAAGAGAATTGATTGATAATTTGAAGGAAACAAAGACAGTCTTCAAAGGAACTTTACTTGACTGCATTCAGGCTGGATTAGAGTATTTAGACTCACCAATTGCTTTTGCTTTTGCATGTGATCTTGATGCTTACTGCGTCTTTTCTGATCTTTTTAATCCAATAATTGAAGAATTGCATCAATTTAAAGCTGAAAACAAACATCCAGCACTGAATTGGGATGAGACATGCAAAATAACACAATTTGATGACAAGTACGTGAAGTCAATTGAGATAAGTTGCATAAGGAATATTGCAGAATATCCATTCGCACCAATCATGTCATTTGAGAACTATGACGAGATCCAGAAGAGACTTGTTGGAGTTGTCAAGTGCTTGTGCAGCGGTGGACTTAAAGGACAATTCTTTGATCTTGAAAATATGACAAATGAGGCTAGAAAGTCATTCATCGACAACAAAATCTTATTTAAGGATGACTGTCCAGTATTAAAAGCTGCAAATGTCTATCGATTTTGGCCTAATGGACGTGGAATTTACGTCAATGAATCTAAGAACTTTTACATTTGGTGCAACCAAAAAGATCATTTCAAATTTTTCGTGAAAGAACTGAGTGGCAACATGCGTGAGTATAAATGCATTTTGACAGATTTAATGGATTTTCCATCAATAAATCTGTCAAAAAATATATTTCCTATTTCCACAGGTGCTGCCTACGAGTTGCTCATATCTGGCGTCACTCAAGTCTGCAAGGACTTTGAAATTGCTCATGACGAACGATTGGGATTCTTGACGTTTTCACCGAGCGAATTGGGAAATACAATTCACATGTCTGTTCATATGGAACTAGATAAATTGCCAAAAAATCAAGACAAACTCGACGAGATTGCTTGCAATTTTAATTTAAATATCAAGAAAACTGATGACGATGGAAGCGACATGCTGTATGAGATAACAAACATGAGATGCTTGGGAATGTGTGAATTTGATACGGTCAAAGAACTTTCGGATGGAATCGTTGCACTTATTGATGCTGAAAAGTCGATGTAACGTGCTTGTTGTGGATATGGAAATTATCTCGCGTGACTGCTAAATTTTTTTTGTTTTGGAGCTTCTAAATTGTCTGTAATAAAATCAAGGGTCAGACACTCCAAAAGTATTGTACAGTATTGTTCAATACTTTACAATACATATGGCAAGTATTGTAAATATTGTAATTTTTACAGGACACTTTGAGATTTCTAAAAGAATATAACTTTGATTTCAAGTAAAGATTTTTAAGTTTTTCCAAGGCGTGGACACTCAAAAATATGCTGGGATTATTGGGATTATTTGGGATTATTGGAAAAAAAATTATTCAAATATTTTGAATTTTTTGAGGAAATGAACTGTAAGAAATGTGTTATTTAAAACCATTGTGACTTGTAAAGTTTAAACAATGTGAAAATATATGATTTTGAAGTGTTTGTTGAGTATTAAAATATAAATTTGATCATATAGATACAATAATTTTTCATAGAATTTTGACTGATTTATTTAAACAATCGGTTTCTGGAATAGGATTAGACATTTACTCTGAGTTTTTAGTTGTATTTAATAGTGTCCTAAGTAATATCCATATTTAAACATCAGTCTAAGGAAAGTTTTTGGCTTTATTACTAGTTTTGTTGGAGTTTGATGGCTCCTGCACTAAGTATTTCAGACAAAAACCTCGCTTTGAGGAATCTTAAGGTTATTTTAGTAGATTCTAAAGTATGTAATAAGTTACTACGTAATTATTTGTTATAGTCTTGTTTTTATTAAAGTTTCCAGTATTTTTCCAAACAAGTTCTCCAAAATGTGCCATGTTTTCGATTTTATATACACACTTCTAATTGATGTATTATTTAAGTTACTGCGATATTTTCATAAATGACTTAACAGATTAAAATTTCGATTTTAAGCATGCGAAAAAATATTAACCTAAAAATATAAAATATTTTTTAACCTTAGATCTGAAACTTTTTTAAACAGTAACAATGATATACACTAAAATAAGTCTTGCTGATCTAGATTCAGTTCAACTTAATGATGTTACAAAATCTTATTATGTTAAAATGAGTATGATATCCCGTAATCAATTACGGGCAGACTTTAGTACTTTCTGTTAAGTATAGTTTTGTTTTTGGATCTTTTAATATTATAAAGTTAGTAGACACACAATTATGCTTTCTAGAAGTTCCGGTCCAGAAAATTTTCGGGATCGGGATTGAAATTTTTCGGTCAGCGTTTACTGATACAACATCAAAAATGTAAAAATTTTAAAATAAGCTCGCCTCATTTTTGGTGTGGAAGTCCAACGTTATATACCATTGGAAAGGGTTTTAAGAAAACTTTAAACTATAAAGTTTTATACAGAGTTTGAAAATAAAATGAAAATTGCTCTATTTTGAAAATAAATCAAAATGAAAATAATGAAAATTGCCAATTTTGATCAAAGCAATTTTGCCATTTTGTCAATTTCAGAAAATTGTTATTTTGGAAATTGTTTATTTTCGAAAATTACAATTTTGGAAATTATCAATTTTCAATTTTGTGACGTCATAAATATTTGATGAATAATTTTGTATGAAAATTTTCTTCTTTTTAAATGAATTTTTTCTTCAGAAAAACAAAAGATACAGTTTATTTCCTGGAATAAAATATTATTGCTTAGTTTCCAGTTTTCTTGAATAATCGTGACATAAATAGTTTTGAAAATTAAGTCTAGAAGTAACGGAAGTGCTTAGTTCAACTCCATGCCTTAAAAGTGTGTAAACCTTCATTAAAAGTGTTAAACATTTTAAAAAATTTTTTTGCAGTTCCAACCAGTTGGATACGACACAATGCATGTGAAATATCATAGATATTAATGTAATAATGTTTTGACATTCAAAAATTATGATTATGAGCATTATGAGTGCCTTTAATTTAAAATGAACTTAAAGGAACAACGCATCAAACACGCAGGAATTAGCAAGTATTAAGTTAAAAACGAATATCAACATCCAGGAAATAAACTGTATCTTTTGTTTTTCTGAAGAAAAAATTCATTTAAAAAGAAGAAAATTTTCATACAAAATTATTCATCAAATATTTATGACGTCACAAAATTGAAAATTGATAATTTCCAAAATTGTAATTTTCGAAAATAAACAATTTCCAAAATAACAATTTTCTGAAATTGACAAAATGGCAAAATTGCTTTGATCAAAATTGGCAATTTTCATTATTTTCATTTTGATTTATTTTCAAAATAGAGCAATTTTCATTTTATTTTCAAACTCTTGTTTTATAGTTTTTGATTATTCTATAACGCTGAATCATTAGATCTCAAAAACTTTTTTTTTAAAAAAAGTCACTAATTTTTTCTCCATATATATTTTTGAAATCAGGATTTTCAATTTCGATCATGATGACGAGAATTTCGGGATCCCGGGATTGATTGGAACCGGGAAATGTTGACAATAAATTGAAAATTTAACAAATTCAGATTTGATATTCACTGAATCTTACCCTAGTAACCAAAAGGTAGATCAATGTATTAAATGAGAATCTTCCATGGATGATACATATGTATTATTACATCATGGAAGATGATGTCCTATGAAAATGGAAGATAAATGGACAATGCAATAAGACATTAATGTAATACATCAAAGGAATATAAATGGAAAACAAATGGATTACATTTTTTTGGATAAAAACACGTGTTAAATTCCACGTGTTCTTTTGTATTTTTCATTTATTTGTGTAAATTATTGTAAAAGTATTAGTGTGTATTTAATTAAAGTACACTAACACTACGAAAAAGAACAGAAGGACTTAATTTAATAAAGTTGCATACTGATGAACGACCAAGACTCGCACACAAAACTGAGGAAGATAAATAATTAATTGAAAGACCCATACAAATTTAGAGCGAACTTATAATAGTGATTTCTGCAAGCACTTGTGAAGTATATGGCAAATGCCAAATTTAGAACAAAATTTTTTATGACGCAAAAAATTCTTTTTTTGATGATTTTTCGTAGGATTTGAACCTTAGCGGGTTCGGGTTATACTTCGATGGAACACTTTTGTTACATGTTTGTAACTCAAATATTTTACATATAATAAATAATGATACATTTGATGTTCCATCGATGTCGAAGGAAGATTATATGGAACATTTTGGTTGCTAGGGTAATATTTCTAAATGCATCGTTTTAAGTATTTATCCCAGAGATCGAAGCCGATTTTTTCGGCTTAAACAAATTTTTGATTTTTTTTATCCCCATAAAAGCCAAAAAGTCAATAATTTAACCATAGCCGTCATTATCACCGAGGTCACTACTAGCTTTACTGGGTTTGTCGAATGAAAAACCTAGTTTGAAGAAATTTTTTGAGGAAATATGTATCGTTTGATAGATTTTGGGGCTAATATACAATTTTTTTGATTAGAACACATAGTAAATCAATCAAACCCCATCCCAAACCTGGAATTAATGGGATTATTGGGATTATTGGGATTATTTGGGATTATTGGGATTAATCCCAGTGTCCACGCCTGAGTTTTTCTTGTTTTTTTTTTCCATTTTTTGACTGTTTAAAATACAAAATTATCAATTGACATATTAAATGTTTTCAAGTTTTACTTAGAAATTGTTTATAGTCTTCAAAAAAAAAATCAAAATTTAGGAAAATTAACCTGGGTGGATAAAAATAAAATATGGTGTGTTTTGAAAATATGTGCACACATGAGATATGTGCGGAAATGTGTGATAATGTGTTGATATCCACACATATCCATTATGTTTTCCGTGTGGTCCAATCATTTTGAGTATTTGGGCAGTTCTTGCCAGACGCGGCAATAGCGTCATTTCTTGAAATGAAAATGTTTTAAAAAGTACCTTATTTTCTCGGTAAATTTATCTAAATGCACTTAATAATAATACATTTTTTCGAAAAAGTCACATTTAATCAATTAATTGATTGCCTAAACTGCCTCCAAACCACTATGATTTAACCTTGATCAAGCTTCTAACCATATTCTAAACAAAGAATTAATTACAATTAAGTCAATTTAAAAAACAAATTCAATGTTTATCTTTAACAAGAATTTAAATCTTCAAATTAATGTTTCCATTTAAACATTTGATTTGTGTACTGCATGAAAAATGTGAACTTTATTAGCCAATTTTAAAAAATAAGGCAAACAATTAAGATCAACACCAATTTCACCAGAAAATTCTAAACTTTTAATGTTAATTTCCAATAAATAGTGTAAATTTATAAATAAAATTTATTTCTCTTACAATATTTGAACGTTAATGGAGAAGAACGTCCACTTGAAAAACGTTCATTTCGAAATCAAATTTGTTTGACCGATTTTTACAAAACATGTGTTCATTTAGAAAAATATTTTCCACATTAAAATCACAAAGTTTTAATATTTTAATTAAATTTGCACAAAATGATACGAGAAAAACAACAATTGAGTGAAATTCAATTGAAATATTAAAACTTTGTGATTTTAATGTGGAAAATATTTTTCTAAATGAACACATGTTTTGTAAAAATTGGTCAAACAAATTTGATTTCGAAATTAACGTTTTTCAAGTGGACGTTCTTCTCCATTAACGTTCATTTTATCAAAAACCATGTTGTTTGCATACAAAAAATGTTCGAAACACAAAAAAATACTTAATTTCTTTAAAACTTTGCTTCCTGAACAGAGATCGAAGCCGATTTTTTCGGCTTAACTCAATTTTTGATTATTTTGATAGAAAAAAGCCATTTAACACCCATTTTAAGTATTTAAATTGAACTTTACATGCTTTACTATGATTCTGTGAAATATTTTTTCAGCATGTAGCTATAGTAAGCTCTGAATTTCAATTTAGCCGATTTTAAGCCGATCGGCTTAAATTTCGGCTTAACATTCTTTAACTTGAAATTCTGAGCACACTATAGCTACATGCTGAAAAAATATTTCACAGAATCATAGTAAAGCATGTAAAGTTCAATTTAAATACTTAAAATGGGTGTTAAATGGCTTTTTTCTATCAAAAAAATCAAAAATTGAGTTAAGCCGAAAAAATCGGCTTCGATCTCTGTTCCTGAATAATTAAATTTCAGTGTTGTAAGTATTGTAAAGTATTGTAAATTTATATGAGAAGTATTGTAAGTATTGTACAATACTTACAATACTTACAATACTTATATGGCAAGTATTGTAAGTATTGTAAGTATTGTACAATACCGTACAATACTTTGGAGTGTCTGACCCTTGAATAAAATGAACATTGAAAGAGTTTTGAGTCTTGTTCCGTGGAGCACCTTATAAGATCCTTGTTTATTGCTTAACGATATGTAAAAATTAATACATTGGCATACAAAAGCTCTATTTGAACCTTGACATTTTATATCATTAAACTTAATTTCACTTTTTTTTTGGAGCTTATGGTATGGGAATTGTTATTTTATTATTGCCATTTCTTGTCCAAAACCAGTCATCAATTGATCCACCAGTCTTTGCGTAGCAATCAATATGAAAAAATTTTGGTGTGGGAAGTGTTGCAGTCAAATTAAAGCTGCTAACGAAAGCTAGAAATGTCGATACTTGTGGCTAGGCACGCCTTGACAAAGGATAATTATGACGTCTTTCTAAAGACAATGCTTAGAATAGATTTTTGCTTTTGATAAGAAATTGATGGGTGAAAACTCTGATTCATACCTATCGGAGCTCTATTAATAAATAATTTTATGATTTCAACGTTAGACTTTCTGATATTCAGATTAAAAAGACTCTTAGTCATTCGATCATTAAGCACCTCCAACCTTAATCAATCTGAACTTTCAATCAGTAATTTGAAGTAGTTCAACCTTTTTTAAACCCTCGGAAATTTGAAATTTCCTTTAATAAAAAAGAATATGAACAGAATCGAGAAGATTTGCTTGATTTTAATTTTATTAGTGCTTTAAAATAGAATCAATTGACACGAGTAGGAAGATGAAAATCCATTCTTTGACATATGAAAATAAATGTCTTATTCTCATTTTGACAGTGAATGTCATTAAATCCCCAAGCCAAATCTAAACGATTTTTACCAATTGACAAACAATTCTCGTTGTAATCTCCTATAGTTGGTTCGTATGGTGCCCATGGAATATTATATAAGATTTTATTGCCATTTTTTGTCCAGTACCAATCAGTTTTTGATGGACCAGATATTGTAAAACCATCAATGTAAAGGTACTTTGGAGTAGGAAGCACTGCTGTGACGTTAAAGTTTTCGATTATTTTAAGGAATGTTAATGCTTCATTTATTGTCTCATATGTTGCTAGTTCAAGATCAAATGCTTTACAAAGTCCTTTCGATTGTGCCCAATCCGCTTTAAGTGTTCTGGGGATGAAGTAACTCTTTTGATATTCACTTCCATCGCTCATATATCCTCCTTAAATGAAAATCCGATAGTTTAATTAATATTTGGTTCAGGCAAGCTATAAAGCAACCCCGAATAGCACAAGTCTATTAATCGAATAGAAATCCAGCGCCAAGCCAGTATGACTCTGCGTGATGCTGGCTTCGATTTAAATCCAGCACCATGCCAGAGTCATAGTAGCTTAGTGACGGATTTCTGATCGATTAACCGATTTGTGCCATTCGGGGAGAGAAACTTTGATATTTAGATGGAAACTTACTATATATTCCAAGATTTAGAAATGCCACATCATTAATATAAGCTGGACCATCACAAACAATTGATTCTGATGTCAAATCATCACCAAGGAGTTTTGAGATTATTGATAAAAATACCAAAATTAATTTAATAATTTTAGGCATCACTTCAATATCGAATCAACTGAACTTATTAAATTATTGATTCAGACTGCTTTACGAATTCGTAAACTTTGGATTTATATGAATTATTTGATTTGATTTAAAAGCTATAAATCACTGTGTAACCCACTTCTGTTTAAATAAAGTATTTAAAAATATCCAAGAAACTTGAAATTTTATCTAATCCAGGAACCACTGAAAGGTTTTGTTAATGAACACTTGAGATTATTTTAATCATTGGCAATGAAGATAAGCGATCTTTTATATTATTCATTTACGTATTATGCCCCTGACATCCATCAAAAACCCCATCAAAATTGGTCGTCACTGCATTAAAAAGACGCTTAGTCCCTAAACCACTCAGCACTTCCAACAAACTTTTAATCAGTAATTTCAAGTTTTCCAATTAAAATTCGTCAACTTTTGTCGCATATGTGATGCGCGGTTTTTCATCAAGAATCTGGAATGAGAACAGCATAAATTTTCTCATCGGCAAGCTCATAAAATGCAAATGAACATTCAAGACTTGCTGTATGAAAAAGTTTATCATTTTTTGGCTTGAATTAAACGTCATTTGTTATTCTACATATGATGTTCTCCTCACATGAATGCATAATTACGTACGTATGTTGGCATTTCCATTCGTCAAATATTAAAAGGCATAATTAGAAATGTTCAGCATTCCGCACAATAATCATAGTTCTTCATCATTTTAGTGAATAGAAACTTTTTTTTTTCTTTTTGATGACAGTAATTTGAATTTTCTATGCTTTACTGTTTCAAGACTTATAGCTGCATGAAGGTAGAATTGCCTTGCTTTTTGTGATATGAAGCATTTAAATCTCTTCATTATTGGTAGGAACTTCGAATTGGGTGGTGTTTTTGGTAGTTCCTGACAACTTCTTGTAAAAATGTAACTTGAATCTTAAAACTATGTTCTGATTAGGATTCGAACCTGAATCTTCAGCATTTAAACTTTGGGTAAGTCCAAGCAATCATCTCAAATTTTTAATTTTTTTACTACTCCTCCATCTGAGGTTCTATATTAAGTAATGCTCAAGATTATAATGTAATGGAGTATCCAAATCTAGGATAAACAATGCAGCAAACCTAGATCCATGATACATCCTCACAAATCCTCCAGAATACCCCATGAACACAGCCTTAGAAATCTCAAAACCTAACCATAAACTACCCCAAATTATTACTACGCAACTCGACATGCATGAAGATGAATATTCACAAAAGTCAAATTAAACGATGAAATTTCTCCCATACACGTAGATTTTAATTAATGTCTTTTTATGCCTACAAAAATGTTTAAGCACACAAAAGTTTACATTGTGACATTAAATCAAGTCTCATTTTGTAGAATGTTAAAAATTTATATTGCCATATATTTTATACAACCGCAACGGAAGTAATGTATTTGAACACATACAAAAAAGTGTTTTAAGAGATATTGTAAGGATGTGTGCTTGATATGGTGTAGGATAGGGTTGATGATTTGTCTGATGTTGGAGTAAGATTGAGTTTAGTTATGAATTGGAATGTTTAGGTTTCATCAGGTTCGAATCCTGATTTTTATGGGAATCATTGGAAGAATTGGTTCGAATCTCGTTGGGTACAAACTCCCATACTCATACATACTTCTTTCTTTAAACAAGCACATTTCTTAACTTCTAATCTTCTCTGAAGAGTACTCATTTAGCTTTACTTGAAGCTTAAGAACCAGACTAGGTTGTCATTTCATCTCATTGATATTAAATTTGCGTCTTAACTCCATCACTACTCAGAAACTTCTCACAACAAAATTATATCTTGCTGATTATGATTTCCCGAATCCCATCTCATACTTAAAAATCTACCACCTCTCATTTCGGGTAGTTTTAGAGGGTGGAATTCGGAAACAACAAAAATTCAAACCGATTTTCTCAAAAAACAACACAGTCACAAGAAAATCTGTATAAAAACAGATAAATTCAGTCTCTATCTATCTATATCCATCTCGTAAATTCATTTATGGTAAGTTCACAAAAAATTACAGGAAAAGTGAGGGGAAAAGGAAGAAACAGTAAGCACAACATAGTTTTCTAATTAATAACTTTTCCCATACCTTTCAATTCAACCCCTTTTTTCCCATTACATTTTCCAAAAAAATATTTTTTCTCGCCATCTTTGCCTAACAACCAGCGAAGTGTATAAAGTTTTTCCTTTTTCACATCTTCTGCAAAATATCTCTTACGAGTTCTCTGAGTATGGTTGGGGGAAAGTTGTAGATTCTTAGTTTATGGAGAATTAGAGCGAATATTAAGTATAGATGTTGCTCAAACACGAGAACTAAGTGTGGATGTGGCTCAAAGAGCATATAAAGAGTAGATAGGTCTGAGCATAGGGCTCGCTGTGAAACTGGTTGTATGCATATGACGGATAACCGAAGTAAGATAGGTCCCTCACTGGCCGAGTAGCAGGGATCTCTGATCGAGTGGTTAGAGATCGCCTCTTTTGGGGTTGTGGATTCGACTCTCATCGAACGCGATTTGCATTATATTCGTATAGACATGCAGCAGTTATAGGGAGATCTACGCAAAAGCAGTAGTTCGCAAACATTGCTTTATTGTTCTGCGAGATAATTCTAGCTTCATTAAAAGGAGCAGCTACTGAGTTATAACAAGAGGAGACAAGAACTTAACTTGTTCTTGAGCCTGAAAAGTTTGAGAAACACTGGCTTAGAAGTAATCACTGCCTATAAGTTTAGTTAAGGACATACTCATGTAACTAGGTACATATAAGGTTCTAGTTTATGGACAGCAAGAGATCTAGAGGAAGACCAAAGAACACCTGGATTGGATGTGTTGATAAGGACGCTAGAGTCATAATATTTTGAACTAGCAGAAAGTCTCAAAGGATAGAGCTGTCTTTAGACAATCTCAGAACGCGTCAATGGGCCCACGAAAAAGAAGAAGAATAGGTTCTTGGAGTATAGCTTTGAAATATCTTAGAAATAAAACTTAGTTCAAGCTACAATATATTTAAATGAATCAACACTTAGATTTCATAATTATCAAACCCTGACTCAACATCCAAACAGTTACCAGCAACCCATTCCACTCTCAAAACTTGCTAACCTAAGAAAATTATTTTTCACTTCTACTGGTATATGGTTAGGCAAGAGCAATGAATAAGTTTTTCCAAAAAAAAGCCTGTAAATTTTAGGAATGAGAACACAAAAAGGGGTTGAAAAATGAAGCACAAAGCCTCTTCTATCTATAGAATGGAAAACAAATTACTTTCATTTGAGTCGAAGGTGGAATTAGATATTATTTCTTACTATCTATGAAAGTCGTAAGATGAGAAAGACATGACGGTATATAGAGAGGAATGCTGTGTATCACCCGCCTTAACAAAAAATAATTTAATACCAATTTTCTTGTTTTTCCTATACATACGCACGAAACTTCGGAGTAAAAAATCCCATTGAGGCACATCAAGGAACACAAAAAGATATCAATTTATCTATTTGATGTTAAAACATTTTTCATTTCCACCATTTCATCCCCATTACTTTCAACTATTCGACAATGTATTGAAAACTTGTGAATGACTGAATGGTGGGAGGAAATTGCTCGAGATCCAGCATGCTCAAAATGAAAGTAAAGAGTCCATTTTGCAATGATTCCCTCATCCTTCTATGTTGATTTGAAGAAAAAATTATGGAAATTTTATGCGAATTATGAACATTAAATTTTATTGTCATTTATTTGGAAGTAGATGGAGAGAATTTCTGTTGTGGGTGCTTTTTAGCGCATTTTTGAAACTTGTTTCGAAAAGGTAGCTTAATATCTCACTATGTCTGTTCGTTCGGGCGGAAAAAAACTTTTTAACTAGACATCGTAGAGAGTTCTAGTTTGTTTTATTAGCTCAGATCCATTGTTTTATTTTCGGGATACGCATTTAAAAGTCTTGAAACAGTGTTTTTGTACTATAATTAATGATTTTTATATTTCATATGAAAAAACACGTGATGAGAGCGTTTAGAAATTCGAATTTATTTCTACCGTTAAAAATTTTTGAATCTCAAAAAACCGTTGAATTACAAACCCTTTTTAAATGAAAATTTTTTGCAACAGACTGTTATTTATACTATAATTAATGATTTTACTGTAAATTTTGGCAAGATACTTTCAAATGCATACGAACGTTACAAAATTTGAACTTCAGAAAACCGTTAAATGATAGACTTTTTCTATATGGAAATTCATTTCTACAAATTATTAATTATACTTTAGTTATTGTTTTTGAATTGCAACTTTTAGCGGGAAAATTTCAAATTATTTATTGACCGTTAAATAATAAAGCTTTTCTATATAAGCATTCATAGTAATTATTTGCTAATTGCACTAAAATCAATGATCTTCTAATCTTCTAATGATCTGTAAATGAACGCAAAATAAATACATAATCAAATACTGATCGCTAACACAAAAATGCGCTTAAGTCCCTCGATCAATAACACGAGGACTTCTGTAATTTTTTGATACATTTTCATAAAAAAAATGAATTGTATGGAGATTCAATAGCATCAATTTTAATAATTTTAGGATTCGAGCCTATTTCTTATCAATATTCTTCAATATTTTACAAAATCACATTAGGAATTCTAGAAAAACTATTCCATTAAAGTAGATGTAAAAACAAATTCAGCAAATAACATTGAAATCAATCCATTAAAAAACAAAATAATTTCTTTTCATCTTCAAAACAATATCGCCATTCGATATTTATTTATTTCATACAACATTGAACTTAATGCTTGTTAATATTCCATTTCATTTTTATTGCATTTATGATCATTTTGAATAGGAAAGAATATAAAAAAAGTCATAGCATTTATACGGGATATATGGATCAAATAAGACGATGATTATGATGATGATAATGGAAATGAAGAAGCGCAGATAGGGAACTTTAGCAATTTTCTTTAATCTTTATTGATGCATACATATTAATACGCCCCTCGATACTCGATATCGATGATGTTTATGATATGTTTTA